TAGCGGAACAAATAACCTCGATACTTCTGACAAAATTGACCTTTCTGCGAATACAATCACTGTAACACTGGGTTGCTTACCAACCATTTCTCTAAAAAAATTAGCCATTGTCTGTGCACGAGATCCTCCCAACTTATACACGTCCTTAGCCAACGGAATTCAAACTATAAACCAGCTCTTTCACCTACTCATTTGTTTGTTCTGTACATTAGGTTCTACCTTCCAAAATGTTTTCAACTAATTGTGAATGTCCATGATGTTCATATTACAATTCATGGACTGTTTATTGGTGACCTTACTGACCCTGACACGATCCAGCCCAACCTTGTTTTTTTTAAATCGGCAAATATATTGCCCCAAAGATACTTGACCAACACAGAATAAACTATAAAATACATGCACTCCCAACTTACATGTGCAGGAATTTATGTTGATCTTCTGATGAGGAGTCAGCCCTGTTATTTTTGAAACTACCAAACAAGAAATATTATTACCATAACCGCCTTCAACTGCTTCAAATCTTGCTATACATTTTGAGCCAACAAATGTTGGGTCCTGCTAAATGCCAACAATCGAGACCTCTACATCCTCTTCACCTAACTCTAATTTAGCAAATAACTCTTAGGTAATCAAATTTGGCTGCTAATCGGTATCCAGTAACGCCCTGCAGGTATTACCTAGACCCTTAGCATCACTGATTATCACCAACGCTGTGCTTTATTAATACCTCACCTAGGACCTCCTTACCATTCTCTAAGAAAACCGACCTTATCTGGACCGACCTTCTAGAACTATATCCATTACTAGCACCTGCGAGGACCCCAACTACTTCGTCACTTTGTTGCTTGGGTTCCACATTACCATTACCAACTTTAGAACCATCTTGATTGGATTACTCATAATGTAACAAAGTGTGATGTTTTTACCACACTTTCTGCATTAGCCAACATCACAGTTTTGTTAAATGAGTCTTTTAAACAATAAGACATAAACCCAACCTTTTTAGTTTCTGAATATCTAAGACAAACTCTCAATTTAAGAAATTCATTACAATTATAAATTAAATGATTACCACGACAAAAATTGCAAGAAACAGTTAAATCATTGAAAATGACTTAACCCTTTCTGAACGGCAACCATAATAACGATTCGTGCTGGCCAGACGGCTGCGGACAGCGTTTCGACCCCAGTCGCTTCCCGTCCTTATATTCCAAAACATGCATTATAGAAAATTTTCAATGGAAAGGTTTTGTTCGCTATTTCTTGAAAATAATATACTGAATATTACAAAAACGCAGAACTTTAATTTGAGTAACATCAAAAAATAAAAAAAAATATGTGAAACAAAAAATATGTGAAACAAAAAATATTCAATATCAAATAAAATGTTATTATATCAAAATCAAGAAACAGATATCTTACAAAATAAAAGTACTTGTAGTAACATAATAAAAAACTCATACAACATAAAATAACATCAAAAAATCAAGGTTGATAAAAAAATACAGATTGGAAACAGAAAAACAAAACTCTTTACGCATTTGCCGAGACATTTTAGAAACAAACAATATTTGTCCACAAAAATATGGTTTTACTGAGATTGACCAGAGAAGGCATTTACCACAGAGAAGGGTAGCATTTACCGTGAACGTGAACGCCCGTCTGAAAATAAAGAGACACAGATGATAAATCATCAAATCGGCGCTTAATACCACATTACTATCAAACTGCGATCGTTTCTGTCCTAAACTGCACCTCCAAGCTTTTAACTCGAGTTGTTTCCCGGTTGACTGGTAAGAAAAATGTATGCATCTCCAGTCGTTATCCGTCTTAAAAAAATGTAAAGAGTCTAGATTTGTAATTATTTTTTTTAACTTTAATTTCATATACTTTCTTATTTTTCTTAAAAATTTTCAAGCTACTAACTCTATCACCCAAAAATTCTTTAAATTGTTGCAATGATGATAATTTATTTTTAGGCCTTTTTTCGTCCCAACTACGGAAAGAATTATGAATTTTCGGCTCATTACACGAACAATAAACGGATCCCAAGAATCTAGGTTAATTTTTAAGTTTTCTAATACAAATAAAGTTTCTGTGATAGTTTCCAACATATTGCGCAAGTTCGCCCCTGATTCTGGCAAGTAAAAGAGGGAAATTGCAACAAACTATCTAAAAGAAAATCGACAAGCATAAGTGAGGTCATCATACCGATCACGTTGCCAAACCAATTCGCCATTTTCTAAAGTCATTCTCCGCATTTGAACCATTTTTAACTCTTCTCCTTGTAAAGCTCTTCTTAAAAAATCAAATTTTTCCACGTTACCAATTGAGTGATTATTGTGTACCACTGATTCGAATGTATCCTTAAATTTCAACCATTGGTTTTCATTACCATTAAAGACCGAATTGGGAATTGACGGTAACTTAGGTCTTGCCTATTACAGAATTCCCATCATCCTTATTCCTATCCTCTTCTTTTACAACTTTTTTATCCATTTTTTTCTTTAATTTACATAAAAATATTTTACTTGTAAGTTTTAAAAAATGAATTTACAAATGCGGTTCTGTCATTATTATGATCTACATATATTCATCATTCGACAATGTGTTCCCCAATTCGTTAAGTACAAGGAATTCCAATTTAAAAATAATGTCTTCTTGTATTTTATCGGACTTATCATTAGCCAAACCATCAACAAAATGCGCATGTGTCTAACTGTTTTCTCATCAAATCTGTTTTTCGGTACTTTATTTTTTTAGATAGTTTACTTATTTTTAAAAATGTTTACAATATCTACCTAGATACCAAATGCCAATACTAATACGTTTTTATATTATACTACCGGATAGAAACCAACCCAACTAAGAAATAAAATTACAAATGAAAAAAGTACTTGCACAAATTTAATCCAAGTTTAATTAATGAAAAAGTTAGGTAAATAGGTAAAACATTTGACTTACCCCAGCTATGATTACTTCTCAATATGATAAAATCTAAATTTTACCACCGGTGTGAACTCAACAACAAATTTCCAGCTTCCAACTGCCAAACCATCACAAAATTCCAACAAAACTAGGACTGTATCTATGAATTATGTTGTTTTCCATCCAAATTCAATTTATCCGGCTCGAAGGACCACTTATACAGCGGATTTTAGTACCCCTAATTATTAAAAGTCGCAAACAACTACTAACTATAATTTTATTTAAAACTAAGACACATTACATTAAATTGAATAACAAAAAAGCATAACAATGCTTTATTTTCAAGAAAAAATAACCAACACATGTTGAGTACTATTTCTGCAAACAATAATATGACTTTTTTGCCAACTTACATTATTTCTATTAGATCATTCTTTCATGTGTGTTGGTACACTGTTTCGTTCGGGACTTTTTAATTTAATGTCTTAGGAAACCGTTGTCACGTTCGGTTCAAATACCAACTATATCCGGATAGGTGAAACGACTAAAAACTCAAAATTACAGAAATACCGAACAGTTACTCTACGTCAAGCGGCCACCCTAAATTGTCGCCTGCTACCAGTTATTTTGATGTGTAGGTAGCTGTGAGCATTAGACTATGCAATGGGTTCTTGGGTTCTCCTAACTTTAGTTGGTGTACTAAAAGGTCGGGCCAGAATTTAAGATTTCCAATACCTAAATATAAATAAAACTATAATAACTGTGCAAATAATAAATTTATTTTAACTTTTTTTTTAAAACTTTAGTAAGTAACTTAAGAGACATCAAATGAAGATACACAAAAAAGTGACCAAAAAAAAACTTACTGGCCAGCTTCCCCAACTGTGTCATTAGCCAAAACCAGAATCAACTGTATTTTTAAAAATATGTAAGGGGTTCAAATCCCGCAATCCCAAAACTAAGGCGGTTTTAATTATTATGCAATACCAAAAATCTCCAAATGCATAAAATAAAACTACGAACACCCACACAGGCTATAATTAATTAACTTACTACGTTGGCTTTTAAACTTGGAAAAGCGAAATATGCGTAATTTCTCTTAGCCAAACATTCGATATCTACAAATCGAATAGTTTCGAATCTCACCACGGTACAAATCGATAATCGATTTACATTCCGATACATCGATAAATAACCACAACGAGTTATTTACAACAATTAATATTGCTACCTCATAATCGATTTATAATTAAAGAGTTACACTTATCATCAACAGAGCGTATCCATCACGTCACAGTCTTCGTCTGTCGAACTGCAGATGTAAATATATTTTTAAATTAAACAAGAAATTCTTACAACATTACTCTACACTCAGAAAACAAAAGTAGTAAAAAGGTGAAACATTAAAAATGTCTCAAATAAATATTATTTGTTATTTCATAGAAATTAAAATAAACGAAAATGTTTAATAAAGTGACGCAATAAAAAAAATTGCAAAATCTGATTGTAACACGCTATCTCTTGAGATATTGTAAAAATTATGACAGATTACTGTTTACTTGCCCATATACCATTTTTTTTTCCCAAAATAAAAACAAAATGGAAAATTTTGTCAGATACCACTTTTTACACCAGATTCCTTCTACCATAAAGTATACTAGTGAGTACAGCTAAGCAATTATCAAAATAAATAATCGAATATGGATTATTTAAAAATAATCGATTCTTTTTGATTAATCGATAATTTGTCGATTATTCAATTATTCGATAATTTTCGATTAATTGATTAATAGATTACTAATCGATTTTTCGATTATTTTGCCTACCCCTACTAACAACAACGAATAGAACTTAGTTAAGTCAGAATAAAATTACTCATTAAAAAAAAAAATTATAAAAATTTTCTCTTAACTTTCATATTATTTTATAATTTTATGTGGTTCTACCATTGTATTATAAGTTCAGATCTTTTCTTTTTGTTTACAAATTAAGTTTTATATCACGTTATTATTAAAAACAACCAATTTTTTAAAATGTTTATTTCTTTTTCGTACATGCAATTTTTTTTGTAGATTACGTCTGTGGCATTTGGTGGTCCCAATTTGGACGAACTTTATGTAACTTCTGCCAACTTTGCAGCAGAAGCCTCAGGAAGCAGTCCGGGATCTGTGTTTAGAGTAACAGGATTGAATGCAAAAGGATTTCCAGCAGATGAAGCAATTGTTTAAATATCTGAATATGAGTGTGTTTTAAAATTCTCTTTTATAACCTTTTTTAAACTTAATTAAAACTTTTAACTGTTGTCTGTATTTTTCACTATGTTGCAAAATATTTTTGAGGCGTATCTCATGTGATATTTTTGACAAAATATTAAAATCTCTTTTTAATGAGGCAGTTCGATCGCAGCCATTGATTTTTTTGTTCTGCAGACTAACTGTATTTTTTTTTTGTTTTCTGTAGACTCCAGCTCTAATATTAAATTTTTCAAAATTTATCAATTTCATAAATGTTTTTATAGGGTTTTCTCACCACTAAGGTCAAAACCGAGGGATAAACACTTCCTAAATACTGGTACGTTTTCACTCGATATCACTACAAATTTAAAAAATGTCGGCGAAATCCACCTGAATTTTATATGATTTCAGTGATTTTACCGAAATTTCCCTTAGTTTTATAGGATTTCGCTGATAAGGATGCATAAAATTCCTTCAAATGACTTTTTTTTGTATTTGAAAACCTCTTCATTTCTTGTTTGGTCGACTTTTTTTTAAGTTTCTTTCCTTGACAAGCTCCTGCGTTTATTGTTCTGAGCAACAAATTTATTTCGGTGATGATTTCGACCATAATTTTTATGACGATTTCATAAATTTCGCGAGAATTTTTAGTGATTTCGGTGATTTCGAATGAAAACGTACCTGTATTTTGGGAGTGGTTTACCCCTCAGACTTACTTATTGTAAGGCAAAAAAATTTCAAATAAAAAACCTATGTAGTATTCATTCATACTTTTATTAATTTTGACGACTTCAACTTCATACCTAGTAATTTTTTTTACAAAATAAAAAAAATTACTGAATAAGATGAGATGCTAAAATCGTCATATCTCACATGGAAAAATGTAGGATTTTTTCTTGGTATTGGCTTGGAAACCCCAATATTTTAGCATATAACGAAACAAACATAGTACGAGTTATCCAGGAACTTCAACAAAATAAACGGGATCATATATGGTACCTGAAATGAAAAAATATTACTTTTATACATCACCTTAGTTTTGTTGTTTCACTTGTTGTTTATGTATTTTTTTTAATAAAGTGTTTTTTTGTTCTATTTAGGACTTTTAACTACATCTTTAATTTATCGGTTATTTTAAACGAGTACTTTTGATCCCTTACGAAACATTCCAGTCACCCTCAAAATTGTTAACATTGTTTAAATTACAGAATTACATTACATAGTTTTAGTCCCCTCAAATTCCTTAGGTCCATAAAGTTTCCCCAATGATATTTAAAAAAAAACTATTACACCACAATGCACTAGTAATGCATCAATATGCACCACTAATTATTTTTTTGCACCACCTTCCTTGAGAAACTACAGCCATCTCTTTGTGGGGGGGATCCAAATGAACGCTGCCTTCCCTCCCCAGTGAAATTTTTAAGATATACTGTAATACACCAGTTAGTACTTGTGATGCCCTCATATGCACCACCAATTAAACTTTTTGCACCCCCTCCCTTCGGTAGTTATAGCTAATTCTTTACCGTGGAGTTAGCCCAACGCAATATTTTCCCAAAAAAATATTGCACCGGTATGCCACATATGCACTATCATTAAAACTTTTTTCATCACCTCCCTTTGGTAGTCACAATAATTTCTGTATTGTGAAAGTAAAACCTTCCCACGATATGGATACATTGGATACATAATATCAGTTAGTCATTTTTAGCGCTAAATAAACTTTGGCCACTTCGTCCTGATTATGCACATTTTAATGCAGTCATTATTTCAGGTTACATCTCTCAATATCATTCCAAATATACTTTTTTTTAACAAATAAACATGTCGGCCAAAATGAGATAGTGACCGATGAGATAGTGTCCGATTTAGGTGCCCCATTTTCGCATACAAACCTCGAAGAGGGTTGAAAAGTACATTGATGTTGAGTAGAATATAAGAAAATTTACGTGTGGCTCTTGGGGATAACACATGGAAAATTCAATATCCCTTATCAAAAAAAATTTCCGGCCACAACATGCACTTATACATTTGGGTCATTCTAGAAAACGTGTTTTTCGGAATAGTGACGACGTACGTTTTCATACAATCGATGGGCTTGTGTGAAAAAATCGGACAAAATCTCGATTTTTCTTTAGAAGATTACACCCTTATTTCTACCCTTTAGCCACATGCAACATTAAAGCCTGTGGTTTTCCGAAGCCTAGTTCTATTAATTAACGGCTTGTATGGAAAAATGGGCAACAAATAACCTTTCGTTTTTGTTAGGGAAAATCGAATTTTCCATATGTTATCCCCAGCAGCCACTCGTAAATTTCCTTTCATTCTACTTAAAATTGATATACTTTTCAACCCTCTTCGAGGATTGTATGCGAAAATGGGGCACCTGAACCTGTCACTATCTGACGGACTATCAGGAACAATATGCAGTATACATACGAGTATGTAACAGCTTAAAGGAAAATAACGGTTTTTCGTAACCAGATGTTTTTTATAAAACAAGTATTTTAGTTAGAAACCGTGGTTTCTTGATAATGTATATTCTGAGTGGCACCTGTTGTTGGACTGTTTATAAGTGCGTAGAGGTGATTTACAAATTAAAGGTGTACTTATATTGCTATAATTTTTGTATTATTATCTGGATTGGGCTGAATTTTGTCTCGTTTAAGTCCTCTATTTTTTAAATTAAGCGTACCTCCACCTATGATTATCGTGATAGTAAACTTAAGGCATTTTTTATAAGCTTATCATCATAACTTACTAGATCCTATAGTGACCAGAACATTTATTAATAAAGTTTGGTTTCATCCATGACGTCATATGTTATCAAAGCATATAACTACTACTTCTAACCACGTTGGTTATGTGGTAAGGTACACATTTAAACATATTGAGCATGCGCAAAGTGAAAAGAAATTTAGAGAGATAAGTTTTTCTGTGATTAGGGTTTGTTTGAACATTTTTGTATTTACTATGAAAGAAATTAAATTTTAAATACAGGATACAGAAATAACTAGAGATATTAAAACATTAAGATAGAAATATATTTGAACACAAATATAACACAAAATAGCACCTTTCTTCTTTAAATAAATAACAAAGTCAAATGATCCTAAAATTTCTTATAATTCTAATTTGGTTTAGAAATCCCTAACTTAAAGTAAATTTTGACATATATGAAGTTACACATTTAACGTTACCACAATATGTGTGACGTCAACAGAGTAACTACAATACTGTTACCAAGTATGTTGTAGTAAGGTTATAAAGTAATTCCTTTCTATTTGGTTTGAAATTCAGAGATGTACTATGCACTATTATGAGTATTAAAATGTGCATCCTCGTGCGAATTGGCCAAAATTTATTTAGGGCTAAAAGTGAGTAAATATTGTATACATATAAGGAATGGGATGCAAACAGTTTTGATAGTGGTGCATTTTTTATTCATCTTATACATCAAATTTTCTTAATAACAATTTTCGATATTATTAAAAATAAAGGTACTTTACTCCTGCATAAAATTCATAATTTTCGAAAAACGTGGTACACGACTTAAAAAATTTGATACCTGGTGATTTCATTTTAGTTTTTAGACCATGCAGAACTTTTTATGACGAATCACTTTTTTCATAAAACTAATAAAAAGTTTTCCATATGGTGTCGACTTAAGTAAATATATATATGATATATCGATATAATATGATAAGTTTTGTTCAGGTAACAATTTAAAAAATTTAAAATTCAAAACTATTACAAATTAATAATTAAATGAAATTTCTCGATAAAATAGTTATTTATGCAACAGCTGTGTAAAGTTAATCTTTTTTAACGAATGTGAATATTGTCTCATGAATCAAAAAAGGGACTTTACACACGAGTTGCATACAATATTTTTTCTACTACCGCACACATTATCCACTAATATTAGAAATATAAAAGATACTTTTCACTAAAATTACTCTTTTTCACTTTACGCACTAGTGAAAAAAAGTACAACTTTACACACAGTAATAGAAAAACAATTAATTGTAAACTACCTTTAAATAAAACAATAAAACTGTGTTTATAGTAGAAAGATCAGAATAACCAATGTAATTGTGTTTAATACAAAAATATAATAAAAAATATAGATATAAACATAAGGGATGTATCATCCCTAATAAAAATTTCTAAACTGCTTTTCAATGGTTTATTTCACGATTAAGTATTCTCAATTACAATGTTGCTGTGTTATTGCCACTGTCTATTCGCGAACTACCCACTGCGCTGGTCTGTCTTCTCCCGCTCGTCCATCCTGACACGCATGTGTATCGACTTCAAGAATGTATGGTGGGGAGTATAGAGAAATATCTATCACTTTGCTGGAAATCTCGGAGCGTATGCTTATCGGTAATTTTGTTTGTTTGTTTATTGTTTTTAACGGGCACACTTTTAAATCGCTTACATAATTCACTGGATTTTTTAATAATCTATATGTTACATTTTATGTCCAGGGTGGTACTCAATAGAAAAGTTTTAAATCTATAATTTATCACACCAACACGCCGCGCGCGTATATAATTTGTTTACAGCTCTTTCTTGTACCGAATTACATTCTGTATATACTATTGAATGCACACTGTACAGATACACACGAAAGTGTTCAACCGCTTTCGCTATAACAAGAGTCTTTAGATTGTAAAAATGTTACCTTGATTCACAATCAGTCGTACGGTTACTATAGTATGCAATAGGTTTAGTAACAAAAGCAGTTACCTGTTTGGAACTTTCTTCTATTTTCATTTGATAAAAGCTTGACTTCATGTCCAACGTGGTAAAATATTTTAAAAACATTAATTTTATCTTCAAAACTTTTTTTTTAATAGCACAATAGGACTATTATATTTTATAATACAATAGGAATACTCTCCCTAATTCACCCCTTTTACTTACAGTGAATTTCAATCTTCAAAGTTGACTGAGCTTGTGTATGGAAAGAACGGCTATCATTTTATTTGTAGTAACGCTCTGG